TAGTGTGGCGACCGGAACATCAGAATCACCTTTGTCGCGTTTGGCATTTCTAACCCAAATGCGCTCAACCATCCAGAGATTAATACAAATTGGGCTTTGAGGTGCGTTATATCCTTTACCATAGCTCTCCAATAGAGGTTCTTTCTTCCGAGAGGGGATTTCGCCTTAAAAAGTTACCTAAAAGTCACCACTTACCAGATAGACGTAGGTCTGGTGAAAGCAGACTACTACCGGAAGAAAAGGTAGGTTCCCATGCGCCCCATGATAAAATTCTTGCAGCCGCTCCCCCGCCCCTAGAGTTCTTGCACTATTTCCAAAACCGTACACACTATTATAACCGTTTTGAAGAACTTGAATAACAACTAATGGAAAGCCTAAATATAAAATTTTATTAAGCTATCTTTTTTAATGAAAGATGTAAAAAAATAAGAAATTTCGACTCGACTAAATTAGCCCCCCCCCCTTAGATTGGGCTCGATTAAACATGTCTACCGGTTTTCCCACCGTCCTCCCACTATCGCCTCGTTGCTTAGCCAAATTCAGTGTAAGTGAATTGGAACAGTGATCAGAACAAACAAAAATGACTCGTGATTTACGCGTGAAACACGAATTCAAAACAGATACAATTGGCAGTTTTCGGATGCTAACGATACAACCCCCACAGACGGAAAGAATCATGGTCACAAAAGCCTGCGTAACGGAACACGATTTTCTAGCTGACTAACCGGCATTCAGTCCGAAACAATCAGCCATCTAAGATGGCAAAACTATTTAGATTGGTAACTGATACTCCCATGTTTATATTGTAATTTTGTTTTCAATTATCTAAGCACAAAATCCGAAAAGCACCTCTCGGCATTTCAGGAATTCACTTCATGCTTACAGCTACGATAAGGTGGTAATAGCTGATTCCCCCACAGGATTGATAAGTTAATAACTCGATTTTGTACACATCTAGTTATATTAAATTGCGACACAAGCAAGTTTGATAAACTTCATTACATGACAGTCGTGTAAAACACGAGATTGTATTCACGGGCTTGCATTGCCATAGTTTCAGTGGTTCGGTATGTTTCGTAAGCCTCCTAACTATTCAGTAAAAGAAAATGATCGAAAGTCCACCTAAATTGCCTTGGGTGAGCAACAGACCGTAAGGTATTTCACTCTCGCATATTAGTACTTTCGATGTCATTTATTGACGCATTTGAAAAACCAGCATCAATCTGAATGCTGTGTACCTATCTTTACTGACACTTCATTAGAAATAAATTAAATATTCACAAAATCAGCTTTAATTAGGTCTCAAACTTTAATATTGCATTCGCTGAACAACTAGGTCAAGGTAGAAGCGGCTTTAATTCTCCCTATAGGGGATGAACATTCAGCTACTACACAATCACTCTTCTTTGGAAATTACATGGTAACAAGACGTATGGTGATACGTTACATATACAAAAAGCCAATTTAGGAAAGATTTTGTCTAAGAGTCCCAATGACAAGATCAGCGTTGGCAAGAAACCGTGCCAGGTACGGTATTATAGAAGACTTGTATGTAGTGGTGCGTGCTGCTATATGTTTATACATGGAACGAATGCTAAATGTGGAGATACATTGACTAAGATGCGGGTACAGTGAGTGAGATGGGTCTAGTAGTATTCTGGTAGAAAGTTTCTGGCAAGCCCTAAGGTGCTGTGAAATAATAAACTGTACAACATACTCAAGGGATATGCCGCTGTATCGACATACGTGTTTGATGGATGTACGTATGAGTTTGAAGTCTTTGATTAAATGACCCGGAAAAATAACAGGGGATGCATAAAGCCAGTGGGGAAGGATGCAAGAAAAAAAAATGCTTTATTAAGTGAGTTGGGGTAGATAGCATCTTCAAACGAATAATGTAAAAGGTGAGTTTTCTGACTTTGTGAAATGTTTCGACGATATGAGGAGACCAAGAAAGATTGCGGAAA